AAGTTTTCAGTTCTTTTTTCCAACAATAAAAAACAAACAAACAAGCAAAAAAACCCAAAAGAACAAAAACAAAGAAAGAACAAAAATAGACAGAGAATAAAAGTAGACAGACAGGTTGACAAGGTTGACGCAGGCATTAGTGCAAAATGGAGTGATCATTCACACAGACAATGAGTTACACGTTAAAGAATATGAAGTCCACCTTTCCCAGTTCTGTTCAGCTCGTAGTCTTGGGGTGAAGGTCAGTTTTTCCATGCATTTTATTTCGTTAACAATGGTGATCCAGTCATTCCTTGATGGCAGATTTCTCTGCAGCCATTTCCATGTAATGGCCTTCTTGCTTGCAGCCAAGAGCACTTTATAAAGATAGTTGTCGTGGGCCATTAGTCCAACTGGGATTTTACCCAAATAAAGTGTAATAAAAGAAAAATCTACTTTTAAACCAAAGATTGACCGAAGTTTTCCAGCAAGTTCTTGCCAATATGGTTGAATAAGGGGGCAGGCCCAAAATATATGAAAGTAGTCTGCCATTGTCTGTCCACATTGTCAGCAGCATTTATCCTGTCCCTGGAAACCCTGCTGTTTAGATTTCAATTTAGGAGTCACAAAATATCTTATTATGTTCTTCCAACAGAATTCTTGCCAGGCTCTGGAGTTAGTGGTTTTAGCTTGACCTGCCCAAACAGTTCTCCAGTCATCCTCAGATATCTCCAGGCCAGACACCCCCTCCCATTTCTGATTAACCTGGAGAGTAGAAGGGTTCTTGGTCTTTAGCCTTATATGCATCGGTAAATATACTGATCAGATTGGAATCCCTATTGTCTGTAGTCTCTGACCTGGAAATATCTGAACATATCCTCTCTTCCCAGTCTGTATGATTTAGAGAGTAAAAGACTGTAGGCTGTCCTTATCAGCTTTAGTGCAGTAGGCTGTAATACCATTGTGTGCCCACTGCCTGAATGGCTTATCTAGACCTGATGGTATAAACACTGAGTCATATTCCACCCATTGCAATATTTTTGCATGTTTCTCGAGATGGAGTTTTTTACAGGTGTTAAAGCACACCTTAAGGGCAACCCTGGTCCAGCAATTTATTTTATCCAGGTGAGGATCATGGTGTTGGCAGTTACCTAATAAAGACTGTGCTGGTGTTTCAGATTGCATTAATTCCAAATCTTTCCATTTGGCGGAGTAGTTTGGATTACACCAGAAACCAAAACTTCTTAACGTCCTCCCGGATCCATTCTTGATATATGTTCACCAACTATTTATATAATCTTATTTTATCCTGATTGTCCACACCACAATTTTAATAGGTTGGTCTTTTCTGTACACATGCTAGCTATTGCATGTGTGTGTCCGTCCTGGGAAATGATCCCTTCTTTGTTTGCTTTTCATTGTGCAATATAAACAGGTATTTGGCAGTGTTCCATCCTATCTGGTTTACTACACATTTGTCACTTCATTCCACTTTTAACAATTCAGTTGTCTTTATGTGCTCCTCTTTTGCTCTGTTCCATTTCTACTTTCACGACAGGGTAGATCTGCGTATTCAGAAATATTCTGCAAGTTGAGACTTAATTTAGGGTTATATTTTAGTTTGAAGATTTGTCTTCTCTTTTAGGTTCCAGTGAAAGCCAAAATTTGGCTTTCAGAAACAATGATACCATGAAAAATGTTCTACAGTCCCACCAAATGTTTTTTTGTGAGATGCAAGTAGCTACTTGCTGAGGCATTCACTGGTGTCCCAGAGGGGATTAACCTCTTATAGAATGATTGAATAATATTATTCAACTTCTAATCTCTGTCATTAACATATTTGTCAATGACACCTTTACGCACCCTGTTATGACTTATCTTGGATTTCATCTTTTTTTTATTAAATGATTTTGCATGTAGGGAATATAAGAAATCCGATTATCAGTGTAGATTGGCTCCAGACATCCTTAGTTTTGCTTTCATTTTAAATAATTTATCTTTATTGTTTATTTTCACTAAGAATGTGATGATCTTATGATAGGTAAGCCATAGCTCACCCTGGCTACTTGCATTAGTTTTAATGAGGTGTTTCTAATAAACAGGCAACTGAGTGTACTTTGGTTCGAGAATAACCCATAAAAACATCTAAGAATCAATCAACTACTCTTTGCAAGTTTATTTTCATAGCATTCTGCAATGAATATAAGCCAGTGGCTTCCTATAAAACTTTAAAAAATCTAAAACACTTCAGTTCTGGCTGATATTAATGTTAATAGTAATATTAAAATGATATGTTCTTTTTGTTGCTCAACTCTTGTTAGGCATATTAAGAAAGAAAAGAGTGGTGAGCCTACTCTGAAGCTGAGGAGGGAAGAAGGACCTCCCAAGATGAAAAGTGGCAGGTGATCTGTCCTAGTAAACACACCAATCTGTACCATCTCTGTTCCAGAATCAGATATGAGCCAGCCTGCAGCTATGCCCTCAGCTCCTGACCCTCAACCCATTTCTCTCTCTCTAAAAAAAAAAAAAAGGAAAAGGTTTCCCTTTCTTTCTTTCTCTCTCATGAAATGCTCTTGTTGATCCCAGGCAGCTGACCTATTCTGTCCCTTCCCTGAACTCTGGTGCGCACCCCTCAGGATGGGAAAGAAAAGGTTGTCAAACAGAAAATTACATGGTGATGCAGGTGATGCAAAACCCCCTCTGACATATCCATATTGTACTGGTATCCATATGGTTTTAAACAACTGCTATACAAAATGTACATCATAAATAGACATGCTATTTAAGTTTGTGTTTTTATGGTGTTTTACTTGGGATTAACTATTTCATCTGTAATACATGAGGAATTTTGTGTTCATGTAATGTCATCTTGTTAAATAGCAAAGTATAGCATGTTGGCTGGAGTGGGTTTGAATTTTTTTTAAATTTTGTTTGGGAGTCAACTGTTGTAATGACTGAGCCACAGTGTCAGTTAGCAACTCTTTGTCCAAGAAATTACATTTATATATGCTAATCTGTTTTGCCAAATGAGAACAAAACATAATTCCTGCCTGGGTTATTTTCAATGGCAACATTTTTTTGAATGAGTGAAGGGCTAAGTTATTGTACTACTGTACAACCTTCTTTTTCTAAACTTAACTAAATGCTGCAAGTAAACAGAACCATAATAAAGTTGAATCATGCCACCCCCCGGTGGAATTTGGGGTTGCTATGAGTGGATATGTTAGCGAAAACAAAGTAAAACTACACCGTCAGTGAACATACAAGGCATGATAATTAAAAGCATTTCGTCATTATGTATGTGTTTTTACTGTTGTGAATTAGTTATATATTAATATTATTTCCAAGACAGAGGCATGCAGTCAGTAGTTGCAAAAGCAAATGTTATTTGGTTAACTAGACTCGTGAGCTTGAAAGGAATGGAAAGTGAGCCCATGTTGAGACAATAACTGCTCATAAAGGAACTAACCAGATTTTTATGCTGCAGAAGCTGAACATTATCATACTGAATATGTGGAAGAAATTGTGGTAAAAGGGAACAGTGTAGAAAGATTCAGCCTTCTTTTTTGTGGCTAACAGAGCACTCACAGAAAATGACAGCAAAAACTATGCAACTTTTGCTGAGCAACGGCAACAGCAGCCTCTGCTGTCACAAGTGGTAATTACAGGATTAATTGAATTGAACATTCAATTATGTTGATATTTGTGCAGTCTATGGTACTACACTATTCTAATTGGAAGGAAATTGTATTTAAAAAGTCAAAGTTAAACTTTTAATGTTAACTGTTGCTCCTTCACAATTTCAGCTCCAGCAGTTGAGGCAATTCAATTTGTAATTGGCAAAGCAGAAGGAAGCTTAAGAGGTCATATATTTGGAACTTCAGAACCATCAGTTCTGCACGCTAGCATATCCCTACTGGTCAACTTTCAGTTGTTTTTTTTTTTTTAAAGTAAATTGAGCAACACCCCAGATTTTTCAGTATAATCTCAATGTTTGTTAGATTTTCCCTAAAGCACAGTGTTCTCATGCAACACAAGTGTGCAAACTACATCTCCTCAAGATGAAGTGCTCTCAACACAACAATTATTATATGATGTGCCTAAATTAAGAGGGATAATCTGTTTTACAGTATGTGGTAACATTTTATAAACCAAACTTTCACTTTGAAATGTGAACTGTGTTCTGGAAAATGTAAAGTTATATGATACAACATTGTTTGGTCCTTTGAATTTATGTCACTCCTTTGACCCCCCCAATCTTTGACAGAATTGCCTGCAATTATAAGGAAACACTAGTAGCACTAGCTATTATTTTGTCTTTCTGAGTACACTGTCAGCATGGATGGTGGTCAACAGGGTCATGGTTTCTGCTGGAATATGTGCAATATGCTAAACATATAAATCCCTATTATGTTGTAATATTCACTGACATGTCAGCATTAATTTTAGCTTGGTGTAAAATTATACTTGGTTGATATACATAGTGTGTTCTCCACACAAAACAGGCGGTGTTGATTCAGTTGGTGATTGACAGAAGAACACCTCTCACTCTTGGGAGGGTGTTACAGGAAGCTGTACAGTTTACGGACTAAAATGGGCAGCATCAGAAATCTGCCACACACTATATAGTTCAAGCTGCCGTAGGTAACTTTTATAAAAATTACTTCTTAGCCAATACATTAACTGCATTTGTATTTAAATGATACATGCTAAACATTATTTGTGCCAGTCAGAATGTTAGCATTATTATTGAGTGCACTGACGTGCATGCCAATGTAACCCTCTAGCTCAAAGCACCACTGTGCCTAAGTAGTCTCACAAAGACACACACTAGTGTGGCTGTGAGTAATATTGTTCAAACCGGGGCTGAAACTTTTTTTTTAGGTACTTCATTTAGTATTTTATATTTACGTTACATCTGGCAATGTGATCCTGTAGAAAGTTACAGAAATCTACAGAACCTTTTCATATTCATTCAAATTAGTGGAATTTTGCATCAAACAAAACAAGACAAGACATGGTAGCATCAATGTCATCTCATAATGTCACCAAATACAGACCATAGAAAATACCCTACAATTATAGGAACTAGTGTGGAATTATGTTTATGTGAAATGATAAAACAATAAATCATTCTTTATCTAAGGCAAAAACTTTTAAACCATTTAAAGAAATAATCTTGATGATTAGAACTGTAATCGGAGACACTGGATGTGAAAAATCAACAGGCAAGTGCACAAACTGTGTATAAACATTCTAACACACCAGTATGAACAAAGCCTGACTCTAATGAGGAAAACTGAATTAAGAGGAATGTAATAACAGTATATGGCACAGCAGGAGTCTGGACCCATCGCCTCTCTTTGAGAGTGTCTAAAGTTGGACAAGTTGGAAAGTGTTCCTCGATGATTGAAGTTTAGTGACTGTCCTTTGCCTACTCTCTCTTCTTTTTCTTCTTCTTGGATTCTGGGGAGCTGTTCCAGTAGTAGAGAACCTGCAGAGCAATGACGCCATTACAGGCGGAGGATATAACGTAGGTGAGGGCCATCAGTGAATCTCCAGTTTCCTGTATGAACACAACATACCTCAGCTCAAAATACTCCCGTGACATGTGAACCAGTGTTTCCTCTACGTTGATTTTGGAGCGGCGGCCCGCCACTGTTGAATTTCTGCCACCACGGTATCAGAAATGGGGCAGACGCACAATGTAGTCACGGTTGCCTTTTAAATGATCCTGCCGACATAATGCACCTTGTTGGCTGCCGCTCACATTGCAGGGGGGTTCGGACAGGCCTGCCCCCACTGCTAAAAAAAAAACCTAGGGGAAACACTGATGTGAACACAAGCTGATAAGATTGTTTTCATTTTTCGACATTAACTTTTCCAGCTCTACTCCTGAAACTGAACCAGGGACTCATCCAAAGATAAAATGGCACACAGGAATGTTTACATTAGAAAGAAATTTGTATTTTTGAAGGGGTTAAAATACAGAGAATATGATCTCATTAGGACTGGGCAGTTCACTGAATGAATATTTAGTTTACCAGTTTAAACAAAAACAATTATTAAAACATTATGAATCTATAACTGAACTAATGTATCTTTAGTTATTTAATTCCTTAAGCTTGGCTGATGTTTGCAGCCTGCCCCTTGAATGGTTGTTGTACTTTAAAGCTGCAGTAGGTAATTCTTATTAAAAAAAAGGTTCTTCTGGCTCCCCGTTTCCCAGCTTGGTTGATTGGTTTTTTTGTACAGGCCCGGTGGATTCCTGCAAAGGCCATTAGGAGCACTAGGAGGAGCCAGAGGGACCTGATTCTTTTACAGATAATCTGTATCATGTACTACTGTCAGGATATAGTGAAAGTTTCAGCAAATATGACAACAAGTTGTTTTTATAAAAGTTAAAATGTCATCAGTCAGTCATATTATAGATGAGCACACAGACACTTACCTGTAGTGAGGTGAAGATGCGGGCAAGGGATCCAGCAAACAGCAAGAAGACAGAGATGGCAGACAGCTGGCCAGTGTGCCCATTGCGGAAGTTGGAGGCTGCCTGGATCAACTGAGACAAGCATACACTGTCAGTCTCTCCTGTGCTGTGTGATTGCACATGTGAATTATTAATTCAATTCAATTCAATTTTATTTGTATAGCGCCAATTCATAACAGAAGTTATCTCAGGACACATTTCAAATAAAGCAGGTCTAGACCGAACTCCTTATAACATTTACAGAGACCCAACATTACCACCATGAGCAAGCACTTGGCGATGAGGGCAAGGAAAACTGCCTTTTAAGAGGCAGAAAGCTAGGACAGACCCTTCAGCTCTAGGTGGGTGGTCGTCTGCCTCAACTACTTTTCTTTCCGTTCAAAAAGTTTTTGTATGTATTTCTTTACGTGCTGGGAAATCTGCAGCATGGAAAGAAATTTTGCATTAGATGTTTGTACTGTAACCATGGAAACAGACAACGGTCTCTGCGAAGGCAAATTCTTGAGTTACAGAGGCTTTTTTATATAATCTCTAAGCAGATGAACTTTGAATATATCACCATCACTGGAAAGAGTGAGTTCTGCTGATTACAGCAGTGTATATATGACATATACACGCTGATTTGACTGAGTTATGACTGGGACATGGCCATTTTTATGCAAATTGCATCCAGTCTGTTACATGTGACTTGTTATGGGCAACAAGGATTGAACTTAATGACAAAGGAAACAAACTAATTAATTCTTTTTAAAAAAACGTGTTATAATTACAAGAGCACAGCGCTGAAAAAAACAGCTACATCATAAAACACATTTTTATTCAGATTTTTCACTGCCAGCAAAGACGATATGAAAAGTGCAAGCAATATATTATATATTATATTTGTATTGTGTTTTCTTTGCCTACCCTGCCGATGATGATTGCAGGCATGTTAGAGGCCTGCATATAGGTAACCACTAACAGGGGAGTGACTGGAGACAGCAGGAGGATGAGCAGGCCAAAATACACAATCAGGAAGAGGAGACCTGGGAGAGAAAAAACAAACACTGGCAATAATCTGAGGGCCAATGTCAGACTAATAGAGGATTTCTTTAAGACTGTATCCAGGTTTGAGTTTTTCTGGGGTTTGGTTCCGTTTTATTTAGAGCCCGGCCTTTATGGGATTTCTTGCCTGATACTCATTTTAAAGGGGAAAAATGTACCAATTACCGATATAGTGAAATTTAGAGCTGGAATGAAAATAGATCTTGAGGAATGTGCACCGATTATGCACCAAAATGACTCACAAGCACTTCAAAGGCTGCTTTCTCACTATTAAGACCAGGCTATTTAAGTTAAATATTCTTTAACATGTTTAACATATACACTGTCAACAAATTCTAGCTGACATTACTGAGAGCTGCTTCTTCTCTTACTTTGTGCTGCTTGCTACAGTACTGTAAATCACAGTGCACGCTGCTGGATAAACTTTGCAGTGACACCAATATATTGTCATCTTTAATAGAGTGCATGCAGTCTTACCTCTGCTGGTTTTTCCTCCATAGTACTGAATGAGGAAGCCAATGGCGACGGTCTGCAGCATGAGGAACAGAGCCTCACCCCAGGCACTGAGGTGACATTTAGCACGTTACTCACTTTGTCCCTCAACATATGAAACAAAATGCAGTGATTACAACCGTGAGTGCTCCATGTAAATTTCCACTTCAGAGTTGATTTACATATGGCCCAACCTGAAAGGGAACTTGTTGGCAATGCTGTAGGCCATTGTTCCTGTGATGGCTAGCAGCTCCAGCAGAACAGACTTGAAGCTCAGTCCCTCAGCGCTCTTTGCTCCCATCAGCTTTAAGATCTGAGGCAGCTTCACTGTGAACAAGGAGGGAGAAAAGTCAAAGTATACAGTCTGCATATCTAAAAACATTCTGCATTTCTGTAATAAAAAACAACAATCAAAAGCCACCAATTTTTAAGCAGTCCACCCATCCATTTTCTAGTTTTTCTAAAAGTTTGCACTGTAAAATAAATATAAACACACAGGTTGACTGTTTTACACAACAACACATTTTTAATACTTTGAGAAATACAAATTAGGGCGCAATATGGCAAGAGCAATATCCTAATTTTCTTAATGCTAAAATGTGTGACACACTTTTAATTCATTATAATAAAAATATACTAGAAATCCTGCTTTCCTTCCTTTACATGTTTGACATGTTTGTTTGGTACAGACACAAATTAAAACTCCCACACTAACTGTGAATCATATCGCACTTGCAATATCCGTGGACATAATCACAATATGTCTTTTTTTTACCATATCGTGCAGCCCTAGTATAAACATATTTTTCGATAAAACCTATTTTGAATTTAACACGAGAAACCAAAGCTCTCAAGTGTTACATTTTATATAAACAAAGGCAGCTGTACAATGACTTAAACTAAATAAAATACAGTCTAAAACTGACAAAATTTGGATTTCAATCAGCTAAGCACATAGCATATCAAAGTACAGGAAAGGAGAAAGTTGACAGAGGCTTGCTCAACTGTTACTGGAGCAGAGAGCGAAAAGGGTTGCAGCTTAGGAAGGGTCAAGTGTCTTTAGTTTTCATTGACTAAAACGATAATGACTAAAATCTATTTAAAATTAACACCAATTATTGACTAAAACTGAATCAGGTGTGCAAATAAAGACAGTTATAAAAGGAAGTGGAGGTGAGGTGATTTACCCATCACTGATCCGAGGATGATGCCGATCCCTAGGCCTTTGCTCAGCACAATCTTCAGACATTGTACTGTAACAAAAAATAAAAAACATTCATTAGCTGGCTGACATCAAAGTATAGACAGACAGACAGACAGACAGACAGACAGACAGACAGACAGACAGACAGACAGACAGACAGACAGACAGACAGACAGACAGACAGACAGACAGACAGACAGACAGACAGACAGACAGACACACACACACACACACACACACACACACACACACACACACACACACACAAACACAAACACACTAGATACCATCACTCAGACAATATAAAGCAAGAAGAAGGATCACATGAATTTGCAAGCAGGGGAGAAATAAAACATAACTTATATTGAATGGCAAATTAGTGATATGTATGAACTACAATGTGTCTCTCTAAATACTTTCTGACTTCCCTACTCTGAGCTGTTTTTATATTTAAGAATGGCTTACAAATACATAGTTTCATTTTTAAGAACAGGCTGAGTAAATTCTGAAAACAGCAGCTCACTGTAGTTTTGACCCAATATTACTAAAACAGGAGGAAATAGTGTTTTAGGGGACTATTTTCAGCAATGGACTGATTTACATTTAGTATGCTAGTCCATTGAGTATTTAGGGCAGCAAGATGGTGTATGTGGAATTGAGTTTCCCTGTCACAAAAGGATGCATAAAATGCATAAAAACTAGTCCATGCATTTGTTACTTCTAGGCTGGATTAATGCAATTACTGCAGTCAGGCTGTCAAGATTCTCTAGTTGATCCAGAAGTCTGTAGCACGACAGGAAATACATATTTCTCCCTGTAAAATTCAGAATAGAAGTTGAACTCAAGATAAAACCACCAGTCCATCTGAGCTATAACTGCAATGTACAAGTTACTAAAGTTGAACACAGTGACATGTTTATTCTCAAATCAAAGTTGACGTCTCATGTTGACATGGGATGTGCTTAACTGTATAATTAAAATCTCAAAACTATATATGCACAGTATTCAATGCACATATTGCTTTTCAATGCACTACAGTAAAGATAATAAACAATTTGGGCCAGGAAACTGTCGATGTAAATTACATGGTGGGGTCCGATTTCATATGTCAAAGCTGAATACTATGCTGCATCTTATCTTCATCTATAAATTAATCTTCAGCATCAATTATTTGACGGAAGTTCAGTCACACAGGACTTGGTAAATGAACCTGTACTTGTATAGCGCCTTTCTAGTCTTCCAACCACAAAGCACTTTTACACTACATGCCACATTCACTCAGTGATGGCAAAATGCATCAAACAGAAACTAACTCGATGCACAGCATCAGGAACAACCTTCCGATTAGCGGACGACCCGCACCAGTCAAGTCAAGTCAACCCGACTCGAACCCACAATGTCATACTTACTAGCAAAGTGCAGAAACAAACTGAGCTAACAAAGGAGTATGTGAGTTTATCTTTTCTGCTGAGTCTGAGCTCGCTGCTGACCTATGATATGCCGGCAAAAGGTTGCATGCTTTGTTTACTGCAGCGAATATGTAACATTTAAAATGTCTATAAACACTAGACCTATGTTATTGTTGATTTGTGTACTTACATTATCCCAAATGTTTCTATTTATTCAGGTAACGGTGTCAATGGCATCATATCCCCTTCATGCATGCATTGTGGTTGTCTGCCAAAAGTCATAAACTGACTTTTTATCTAGTTTTATCCAGTCACATTTTACTGTACACGTTTTAGAGCTTGGTGTTTTTTAACTCTATGTTTGAACCGGATAAAGGATTTTAGTCATTTAGTAATTGATCTTAAGTTATCAGAGAAACAAGCTGAGCTACTGTTAGCAGCAGGAAGGCCTCCGGAGCGTCCTTTGTCTGCCCAACAGCGTGGGAGAAACAGTGACTTTTAAGGTGGAACCGCTTTATTCAGTGTTTTTAGCGGTTTTAATCAGCGGGTCCATTTATTTGGAGAGGAGGAGACATCTGTGGATAATCGGGCTCCCAGTAGAAACCTCCTGATTGATGAACACTGAAGGAATCCTAACTGGGAGAAGCTGACTGCAATGACGACATTGGGAGTGAAGACAACAACTCCCATGATACCACTACTTTCTATCTTTATTTATATTTAAAAAGTACTTGATTCTGTGTGATTCTTACGCACCAGTGCACCAAGGCAAATTCCTTATATGTGTAAAAACGTACATGGCAATAAACCCAATTCTGATTCTGATGATGATTGTTCTGATGTGAGAGACCACCTTAGCAGCAGAAATGAAATATTGGACGTTAAATATGTGTTACTTTGTGACCACAAACATTGCAGCTTTCTTTTAACATTCTTTCAACATTCAACTCTTCCCTTACTGTGAATTGATACAATCGGTGCTTGATGTCTTAGGTCTGGCTTTCAAAGTCAAAAATGAAAAACAAATGAAGTGAATTAGTAATTAGTTACACTACTAGTTGCTGGGGAAAGTAATTGTATTACTGTAATAGTATTACTAGTAATAACCCAGCATTCTTCCTAAATAAACATATTAGGCAAATAGATTTGTGAGGGGGAAAAAAGATTCTGTAAGTCATTACAATGAGAAAAATACTGACATTGTATCTCTTTACAAATAAAGGTTTAGTATCAGAAATTCATTATTTTGAGATATTACGTCAAACTATTGAGAATTTCCTTGACAGGTCAGAAAGCAAATTACATACTACAGACCAACAGGAAATCAACATCGAGTCTTCCATGCTCCCAGTGCACTGATCTCCCGGTATTCAACCTAATGACACTTACCGTCCAATAGGTTGAAATTGAGAAAGAACTCGTCGTAACATGATTCGGGCATAAAATATGTCAGTAAAAGTCCTTTGAAAGGATCCATAAACGATGACCCTTTATCCAGGACTGTTTTCTCCGCCATTGTGGGGATTAATATGACGTTGCCGTACAATGTGTAACACGTAAAGAGTTCCACCAGTTCGCATGATAATACAAAGGTTCCGCCAATTGAACACAATCACAAATTAATTATTCTATTTTTCAAATCACAAACTTCACATAATAATGAAAATGATGACACAGTAACTAATAAAATGATATAAAAACGTTAAAAAACAGCATTGTGTTTTAATTTCAACTGTATATGGAGGAGTAGTTTAAATTTACGGAAGACTATTGGATTTATGTATATAAATAAATCTCAGGATCCTATGGAGCCCCTAAAGTCCCCAAAAGGAAATACTTTTTATCTTGTGTGCACAAGTTATTTATCTTGTGGGCACAAGATAATTTACTATAAATTCATATGCATCTCTAACGGCTTCAGATGCAGACAGCTGTCATATAATGGAGAGAACTCAGCTTATCAAGTTTTATTTTCACCTCGTCATACCATGAAATTCTTGCTGCTCTTGCTGAAATCTGAATGTCCACTGGATTCTGTTTACAGTGGCATCGACACTTCAGTAAAACGTGCGAATAACAGAAAGCTATCTTTTTCAACTATCTTATCAACAAGTTCACCCACCAATAACATTGACTGCTTAAATAAAGCATGAACACGGCAATGTTTCAAACATAGTGGAGAAATCAGCAAACATATGCCTATGTAACTTGTGCGCATCAAGCCCCCACCCTTTTGGGTGAAAACAGTCCCTCTAATTTGACTGGCAGTAAATGTAAATTTGGAGATCTTTGCCAATTGAATGCCATAAAATAAGAATACTGTATTGCTGTTTAGCTATTAGGAGCCACAATCCGATAACCAGCAAGGCAAACAACTCTGTGATGTGATTGCTGATCATTTAGAGAAAAATGCACAAATAGGGGTTGATGAGTCCTTTCAGTCTGCCTCTAAAAGTGGAGGGACCTGACATATACTACCTACCTTAGTGAGTCACATATTTCTGATATCAGTCACTGTTTCTGTTCTTAAGACGCTTTATTTTGCTGCTTTGGTCGTCTGTCCAATGTGACATTAGTGCAAACAAATTCAATCGCTGTGGCGATTTATCTCGACTTCCTATATTACTTTATACTGTTTATAAGCTTTGTTATTAGAAAGTAGGTCTGCTCAATTTATGTTAATCATTAAGAATAAAAAAATCATCTGCTTCACACTGTAAAACCAAACTTCATCCCCCTCTCATCCCTAAGTCTCTTCACTGATTCTCTTGAATCTACAGTTACAATTGGCACATGTGTCAATTACTCAGTAATATTAACTAACCTGAATGCAGGGCTACTTGTGGTTCCTGTAGTGTCTAAAAGTAGAACAGAAGCCAGAGCCTTCAGTTACCAAGCTCCTCTCCTGTGGAACCAGCTTCCAGTTGTGGTTCGGGTGGAGACACCCTCTCCACATTCAAGAGTAGGCTTAAGACATTCCTCTTTGATAAAGCTTATAATTAGGGCTGGATCAGGTGAGTCCTGAACCATCCCTTAGTTATGCTGCTATAGGCCTAGACTATCAGGGGATTTCCCATGATGCACTGAGCTCCTCTCTTCCCCTCTCTCTCTTCCTGCACTCATTCATGTCCCATTAATGCATGTTACTAACTTCTCTTCTTCCCCCAAATTCTTGTGCTTTCTTTTCTTGCAGGTTCTTATCGATCCTAGTGGAGCCTCCTACCTTGGTCGTGCTAGATTGCCATTGCCAATACTGTTGTTGCTGTGCACCTGTCTGTCTGTTTTTTTTCTCTCTCTCTCTACAACAATAACATAGGTCTAGTGTTTAGAGACTATAGGAACCACAAGTAGCCCAGCATTCAGAGAACGTAGTGTTCTAGAGGGGTAATAGGGTATTATGAGCTCTTTAAGATATGAAGGGGCCTGACCATGAAGAGCTTTGTAGGTGAGGAGGAGAATTTTAAATTCTATTCTAAATTTTACAGGGAGCCAGTGCAGAGAAGCTAGTACAGGAGAGATGTGATCTCTTTTTCTAGTTCCTGTCAGTACTCGTGCTGCAGCGTTTTGAATTAATTGGAGCGTCTTAATGGACTTATTGGGGCAACCTGATAATAAAGAGTTGCAGTAATCCAGCCTTGAAGTAACAAATGCATGGAATAGTTTTTCTGCATCTGTCTGTGATAGTATGTGTCTAATTTTTGTAATATTACGTAAATGAAAGAAGGCAGTCCTAGAGGTCTGCTTTATGTGGGAATTAAATGACAAATCCTGATCAAAGATAACTCCAAGATTCCTGACAGTGGTGCTAGAGGCCAAGGTAATGCCATCTAGAGTAACTATATCTTTAGACAGTGAGTCTCTGAGGTTTGTGGGTCCAAGTACAAGAATTTTGTTATTTTCTGAGTATAACATCAGAAAATTGCAGCTCATCCAGGATTTTATGTCCTTAAGACATATTTGTAATTTAGATAATTGATTAATTTCATCGAGCTTGATTGATAGATATAACTGCGTATCATTCCTAATAATTTTGCCTAAAGGGAGCATATATAAAGTAAATAGTATTGGTACAGAACCTTGTGGAACTCCATCACTAACTGTAGTATTTATTGAAGATTCATCGTTAACATGTACAAACTGCGAACGATCTGATAAATATGACTTAAACCAGCTTAGTGCGGTTCCTTTAATGCCAATTTGATGCTCAAGTCTCTGTAAAAGAATATTATGGTCAATGGTGTCAAATGCAGCACTAAGATCTTATAATAATAAGTACAGAGACAAGTCCATTGTCTGAAGCAATCAAAAGGTCATTATTAACTTTAACCAGAGCTGTCTCTGTGCTATGATGAACTCTAAATCCTGACTGAAAATCCTCAAATAAACTATTGTTATGTAGAAAGTCACACAACTCTTTGGCGACTACTTTCTCCAGAATCTTAGAGAGGAAGGGGAGGTTAGAGATTGGTCTATAATTGGCTAAAACCCCTGGGTCAAGAGTGGGCTTTTTAAGAAGGGGTTTAATTACAGCTACTTTAAAGCACTGTGGTACACATCCTGATAATAAAGAAAGATTAATCATATCCAGTAAAGAAGTGCCAATTAAGGGTACGACTTCTTTAAGCAGCCTAGTTGGGACTGGGTCTAATAGACAGGTTGATGGCTTCGATGTAGAAATTATTGAAGTTAACTGATGAAGATCGATAGCAGAAAAACACTCTAAATATATATCTGAGTTTACATTAGTTAAAGTTCTTGAACTTGGAGAGCCACTGATAACTGTTGATGGCAGTTGGTGATTAATTTTCTCTCTAATAGTAATACTTTTATTATAAAAGAAGCTCATGAAGTCATTGCTACTTAAGGTTATGGGGATATGTGGCTCAATAGAGCTGGGACTCTCTGTCAGCCTGGCTACAGTGCTGAAGAGGAACCTAGGGTTATTCTTATTTTCTTCTATTAGTGCTGAATAATAGGCTCCTCTGGCATTACGGAGGGCCTTTGTATAGGTTTTAAGATTATCTTGCCAAATTGAGCGATATTCTGATAATTTGGAAAAGCGCCATTTCCTTTCAGATTTCCTAGCTATTTGCTTTAATTGGCGGGTTTGGTGGCTGTACCACGGTGCTAGTTTCTATGTTTTAATAATTTCCTTTTTATAGGAGCGATAGAGTCTAATGTTGATCGTAGTGAGCCTGCAGCACTATCAACAAGATTATCAATTCCGGAGGGACTAAAGTTATTATTGGACTCTGTTAAATTCAGACATGGCATTGAATTAAACACTGAAGGAATCTCCTCCTTAAATTTAGCTACAGCACTGTCAGATAGACATGGCTGTAGGAAGTTTTGCTTAATGGCTTATAATCTAATAATATGAATTCAAAAGTTATTAAATAATGGTCAGATAGGAAAGGATTATGTGGGAAGACTATTAAATGTTCAATATCAATGCCATATGATAGAACAAGGTCAAGAGTGTGATTAAAACAATGAGTTGGTTTATTTACACTCTGACAGAAGCCAATTGAGTCTATTAATGATATAAATGCATTACTAAGGCTGTCATTGTCAACATCCACATGAATATTAAAATCACCTACAATAATTACTTTATCTGATTTAAGGACTAAACTTGATAAAAACTCTGAGAATTCAGATATAAAATTAGAGTACGGTCCAGGAGCGCAGTACACTATAACAAACAGAACTGGCTGCAGTGTTTTTATGTTGAACTCCTCTTGTTTTAATTTCTTTAAATAATTTAGGTGGTCGGGGGACAGACACAGGCTCTATGGGGTTTTGGGTGGGTGACTGTACTAATGGAAGTGCAGAGAAGTGTGTAAGACAGCAGCTCTGCTTCCTGGTCCTAACTCTGGACTGTCAGGTTTTAGAAATAAACTTCGCCATATTCCTAGATAAGAGAGAGAGCCGCTCCATCCAAAGTGGGATGGATGCCGTCTCTCCTAATCAGACCAGGTTTTCCCAAAAAAGGCTTCCAGTTATCAATGAAGCCCACATCGTTTTCTGGAGTTTTAGCATAATTACACACCGACTCCACATTAATCTTAGTGACCTCCGATTGGCGTCAACGGGTGTCATTACCGCCGACAGCGATAACAATCTTACTGTATTTACGTTTATCTTTAGCCAGCAGTTTTAAATAGGATTCAATGTCGCCCGCTCTGGCCCCAGGGATACATTTGACTATGGCCGCTGGCTTCGCTAACTTCACGTTTAGCGTTCACTGACAGAGCTACAGCACGAAACAGTGTACACAGAGCAGGAAGTAAACCGGAAATGAGTCAGTACGCTTACGGCCAATAGAGAGTGAGACTAGTTCTTCTTCTTCTTCTTCTTATAAGATTCCGGCAGTGTAGACGCTGTTAAGCGTATTACTGCCCTCCACAGGTCAGATTTAGAACTAAATTCTCACATACAATCCTGTATCATGCAGAAACTGCAGAACTGCACCGGAGACCAATTTGTATTTCTCACTGTGTCCAAACAAAGATGCAACAGAAAAAGCCTCAACTCCAAGTCCTGTCAATCT